TGAAAGGCAAAGGGGGAGGTGTTGTTGTAATTTATAGTAACATTTTCAGAATTACTAAGAAATCTAGTTTCAAATATAATTCTTTTGAAGTGTTGGTGCTTAATGTAACAATATATAGTGCAAATGATATATCACGTTTGAGATTTGTGCTAGCTACTGTATACAGGCCATCAGGGCACTATATAGACTTGATCAAATAGTTTGCTGACTTTCTATCAGAATTAGTACTCACTGCAGATAAAGTCCTAATTGTTGGTGATTTTAATATACATGTAGATAACGAAAAAGATGCATTGGGATTGGCCTTTAAAGATATTCTTAACTCTATTGGAGTTAGACAACACGTGTCAGGACCTACTCATTGTCGTAATCATACTCTAGATCTAATCTTATCACACGGAATCAATGTTAATGCCGTTGAAATTCTGCAGCAGAGCGATGACATCTCAGATCATTATCTAGTCTCGTGTAAACTTCATTTAGCCAAGGCTGCAAAGCCGACTCGGTGTTACAAATATGTTTTGCATCCTCATTGTGGAGGTCGGGAAGGAATGGAAGGCTCACGGGAGCTGGGGGGTTATGACCGCTCGTCCAACCTGCCGCAAGCGGTCTCTTCGCTAGCGCGCCCCCATGACAGCTTGAGTCTGTCTGTTGCGCGCTCCATAACCCTGTAGCAAATTAGCTCTATGAAATATTAATAATCAATCATTACTTGTTATAACTGATTATGAATACTTGGATCAGTTAATCGGGTTAACTTGATGTAGCTACATTAACATTACAACCAATTACCAGGTTCATCCCGTGAACACGTGAAATGTACATTTCCGGGGCATGGGAAATGTCTTTCTTACTGTACAGTACTATACACAGCCTGTGGCCAGAAATCTATGATTAGTGACTCCAGATATGAGCTTGAGACACGGACAACTTTACGTGTGATATGAACAAGACTTTATTAACTAGACTAAACATTTAAACTACTCTAACATACACACATGCATACAGTTTACCAAGGGAAAGAAGGCTGAAGCAGAATACAGGAAAGCAAGAAGTTATAGCATTGTTTGAAGTTCAGCAGATCAACAGCCTGAGCAAACCATCAGTTTAGTTCTAACACGCCTGTCACGGCGTGGTGCAGGCAGAAGAAGAAAACAAGGCGAGAGCTCCAATGCAAATACTTTTACTAATAAAGAAACTTCAGGCAGGTACTAACAGGCAGGATAACTCACGCAACATAAGACTAACTACTGACCAAGAGTGACTGAACTGAAGGGACTAAATACAGACATTGATTAACATAGATTAGTGAAGACAGGTGACACAGATGATAATGACGAAGAACAGGTGGGTGATTTGAGGGAGTGAGTTCAGGTGTGGAGACAAGGAGGATTCTGGGAAGTGTAGTGAAGACAACGACAGAAGGTGTAAACGATGACTGTGACAACGCCCTACTTAAAAAGGGGTAAGGATACTTAATGTATCAAATAATGAGACTAAGTTTGATACTTGCATGTCTCGTCCGTTTGAATTAAACTGTCCTGATGCAATTTGTTGAGGCTCCAGTTGATCTTTGCTGATGTGGTCTTTATGAGAGAGAACCAGTGGGAGTCAGAGGATCTTTGGTGAATGGAAAGACAAGGCTGCAGCCTGGCACAAGCTTGGGGGTCCTTGGGGGACTTCTAGTTCAGCATCATCTTCACATTAGGACATCTCAGGAAGGACCAAGAGAGTAAGAGCGGGTAAGAGCTAAGAGAGCAAGAGGGCTGATCTTGTGATCAGTGATTTTTAAAGCGTGAAGATGTCACACCCTCTGGAGGTGTATGAGCCAATACGAAGTTTTCCCTTTGGAGGGATTTTTTTACGACCCATTGTGTTCTAGCAGGGCATTTGAATATGTCATTTCATTGGGTGTTTAAGAAAAGAATCTTCAAGATTCTTATAATACTAATGTGTCACAAAGTTTGCCAAATTTAATGTAAATTAACAAATGGGGGATGAAGATTGCAGTTTATAGAATCCAAACATGCCACACATATGATTTTGGTTAACCATAGTATGCAAAGTCTGAAACATTAACCCATTAGAGTTTACAAGAAAACATAGGCCAAACAACATGAAAGGAAAATTATGAGATGGGAAAATTAGATACATGTTTATGCATTTCTTAAGTGGATAATTATAGAATATATAGGATTAACTGGGTTTATTTCTCCTTCTCAGCAAGAATTAAGTGAGTCACAACTCTCTGGAAATTCCTTTGGGGTCGTAAAACTCTTTATCAGTCTCAATGTCTCCTGTAACAGGACACCGGGTTCTGCCAGTGTGTTAGCTTAATTTGGGATGTTAGCTTTTGTGGGAAGTTTCATAGACCTTTGTTGGGAGAGTGAGTTTGCTGGATTATTCATTAAAGGGCATGAATCTAAGTGAACGAAAACATCCTGCAAAGTTTTAAATATGAAAGTTCACCGTATACAAAGTTATTGTCTCTCAAAAGTAAGAGTCGACTCTGAGTCGCTGATATGAATCGATAGACGAATGATGCCTTTTCTCTATCTAGATGACGTCAACTTGACAAGTTATTTGAATAAGATACGCCCACTCATTGCGCGCGCAGACACCAGGGTAAACTTGAAAACATCATGTCGACAACAAGACGCTGTGTTATGAAGTGCGAATCAAAAGTGGCCTTTTTTCACTGCCCAGGGAGGAGCATTTAAAGACTAAGTGGCTACAGTTCATATATACAACTATACCTCACAAGTATAGGCCGAACCTTGTGCTGTGTGCGCGTCAGTTTAATGACGATTGCTTTACAAACATAAATGCTTTCAAGTGTGGATTCGCGAGCCGGTTGATACTGAAGGAAGGTTCAGTACCAATTTTATTTGGATTAGCTTCCTCCTCCGAATCACAACCTGTAAGTATTATTAATAATTGTTGCTTTTATGTGTTTTGTAGCATGCTCAATAAGTATTTGTGTGTGTTGTGCAAGTTACTCTCAGCGCAGCTTCTAGGTCTCCAATGTAAAAAAAAAATTAAATATGTGAAATGTATGTCGTTGTTATTGGAGTTGTCATAAAGAATAGAGCAATACCTTGTAGAACTGCAGTGCTTTATCAATATGTTTATGCGTTGGGCTAACGCAAACAATAACTGATTGGGTCATCTGACCAATCACCGCAGATTAGCGTCACGCAAAGGAGGGGTTTGGAAAAATTAGTCGTTGAACGAATCATTTGGGAGTCGGTGAGCAAATCCGGTAAAAATAAATGCATATTATAAGACAACAAAAGTGTTTTTTTGTCATTGCATGCATGTAAAACTGTTGTTGGGGACTCCCAAAACAATATTAGGAACATTTTAAATGCCATAATAGGTGCCCTTTAAATATAATGAATAATTTGTGTGTGTCTGATTGGTCCAGACGCTACAACCCCCCGCAGCTCTATATACCCGGGGCAGGGTGGCCGAGAGGGTTCAGATGACTCATCTTCTTCCCCCTCAATGGCCATTTCCTGCTCTTCCTGGCCTGGCGCCAGTAGAGCACTGTCTGCTTAACCGGAGGATTCATCTGCATCCTCCTCCAGCAGAGCGCTCTCGTCAGCGGCTGAGGGGCATGAGAGACTAACTCATCTCCCAAACTCCTCAGCCAGTTTCATCTAAGACCCCCCATGACCTGACTCTACTCTCTGCTTCGGCGTGAGAGGGGGCAGACCCAAGTGAACGTGCTCTTCGGCCAGACAATAAACGCTCAAGATGTGTGTCACTTGGTGTCAGAAATCTCGGACACGGGTCGACACACTGCTTCTCAGACATGGGGTGCTTCTCAATATCCCTCCTCGTCTCCTCGATCCTCCATCCTCCATCCTATGACCCGGAAACCGATCGAGCTCAGCCATCTTGAAGGACATCTCAATTCTCTAATTGCACCGCGAGGAGGCGAGGATCGAGGAGTGAGGAGGCTTCCAGAGGAGCTATGAGCGAGAATACACAGTTGTATGCTTTGCGGAAGTGTTTTATCGACTAAACGTGATGCACGTATAAATTCTCCTCCCCCTTCACGTCGGTCACAATCATTTTAATTTAAACTTTACCTTTGCAGTTTATATAAAGCACACATCTCACATATTTCAACAGTGTATCTTGCTTTATTATTATTTATTACAAATTTCTTAAATAACCAAACTTCAACAACATAAGGGCAGATCCTTTGAGCGCTGCTGATGACGCAGTGAAGTGACGCTCGAGTGGTCAAGTATTCCAAAGTATAAAAAAAACTTTCATTCGATTCCTCTGTCCTCATTTTCTTTCCTTGCAGCCTTCCCTCGCATCCTGCAGGGGGTGAAGCTGAGACGCGAGGAAAGGAAGCGAGGAAAGGAAACGAGGATGCACAAAAAAGAATTGAGAAGCACCCATGGTTAACCTGTGATCACTTACAGCGCTTCACACAAAACAGTCCCTGAAGACAAAAAGAGGATGACATGTTCTCTAGGCGCCCCTTATATACTTCCTGTTCGACTAGTATGATGTCATAGGTTGTCGCTGGCCAATACGATTGCTGTGATTTTGACAGTTGCTTTAGATACCAGTCACGCTGAAGCGTCTCAGGACACAGGGAACAGACTCATCAGTTGGTGACATCCATAAATCTTTTGGCTGATGTTTTGCATTAGATTTTGTGCGCATTGGGTTATTCATAAGAAGATTGTTTAAATGTTTTATCAAAAGTTGGAGAAAAAAAATCCACAGCCTTAATCTCTCCTATAATTAAGATTAAATTTAGCCCAAAATGCATGTAAATTTTCATCATACAAGTGAAAAACTGATAAAAAAAAATCATTGCTGTTGAAATAAAAGTAGATGACTTGAGATAAAAGTAGAACCATATAAAAACAGCAATAAATTCTGTTTCTGAACATCTGTGATAAATTATATTTTAATCCTTTAGTTAAAGTAGGTTTTTGTCTTTAAATGTATGTATTATCCTCATTTTTCAGTTTCCACTGGGATTTGCAGTGGCAGCCAGTGTGAGGGTGGGAAATGCTCTTGGAGCTGGAAACACCGAACAAGCAAAGCTGTCCGCCAAAGTGTCTTTAGTCTGTGGACGTATGTGATTTTCTCATTAATTCAACTAAAAACTCTTCTAAAAATGATTCTAGATGCTGTTCCTGCATGGCCAGTTGGCACGGTTATGGTTTCTTTTTCAAAAATCAGGATTAGAATGTATGTTAGAATGTAAATAAGAGTTGTGATACTGTTGGTAAACATTGGAGCAAGGCCTCTGACGATGGAGCATGTAGAAAAGTTCCCAAACTGCCAATAAAGTACATTTAGTAAAAAATACAGATACCATAATGGAAATTAACTCAAGTATTTTTCTTATAAGTAAAAATATTTAAGTAACTGATATTAAAAGTACCGGTAAGTTTTATGAATAATGGCACAGGTGATGATAACGATGGGAACCTAGCTGAGATTCTGTGTTAGGGTATGTAAGAGTTATTAAAGTGTAAATTGCAGGTAAAAATTTTCACGAAGAGTGAGTGCATTACCGCCCGCGCTCCCTCTTATGACGTCATCACCCAGTTACTGTAGAAAACATGCTACCTTTGAAGAAACCCCAATAAATGTTATTTTAACGCATTTTAAGACAGAAATTTTTACATATATACACATTGAGCACTTTAATTTACACATTAATTGGTTGTGGTGGTTAACCTGCAATTTACACTTTAAAGGGATCGTCCAATCCACACATACTTTTTTTAATTCTATCATCATTTACTGACCCTCATGTTGTTCCAAACCTGCATGAATTTCTTCTTCTGCAGAACAACCATTCTTTTAATACAATGAAAGTGAAAGTGGACAAAACAACACTAAACCCAGTGAAAAAATTATAATAAAATCCATCAGAAGTATTTTTTACACATTTTCTTTTATTTTCAATAAAATAAATGCATACATGTTGGGAACAACATGAGGGTAAATGAATAACAGAATATAGAGTCTCGGCATGAAAGACCCACGACTGGCAGATGAACGTGCTACAACATTTCTCTCCGAAACCGTAAGAAATTAATTGGATTTTAACTGTGACGAGATGATTGACAGGGCAGTTTACGGTGACAAGATGCACGCAGCACGCGACAGATTTGTCCGTTAAAGATGACGAAGTAGGCTATGTCCCAAAGCTTGCCTACTCTTTTGCTACACACTCAAAAGTATGTACTTTTTCTTCACAAAAAGAGTACATACTTTTAGGGCGTAGTATAAGTAGGCGAATTGGGACGCAGCATGAGAGACATGTCGATGTCTCAGACTGAGTACAGAAGCGAACTGAAATAGAGCGGAAGTACGAAGTCTGACGTATAGTCAGGCTAGAAATAAGGAGGTGCAACGGGTAAATATGTTCACCTGCACGAACAAGCATTTTATTTTTTTCATCACTATTACCTGTGGGAGAGTTCGGTCACATATCTTATCACACATAACTTCACAATCATATCGCACGTAATCACAATTTCAAATTGTTTACTTAAGCCTAAAACGTATTTACCTTGATAAACACAGAATAAAAATTACATGAATAACGTCTTCAATTCAGATTGCCATAGAACCATTACGCTTTGCTTGGTGTGCTTGCGTTTCTCAAGATTTAGATTTGTGATATGCGAAAACAAATCATTCACACCTCTTCGCGAAACCAGTTTGAAATTAACCGAACTGATCAAAAGATTAATTTGTGAACTGGATATCACTATGACCGATAAGCAAAGATTGCTTTCCATTATTTTTTTGCGCTTTGCAGCTGCAAAAGTAACGAAAGGGTCTGGCCGAATGTATCGGAGTAAAAGTATCGATTTTCTCTTTAATGTGTAGTAAAGTTAAAGAAGAAGTCAACAAAAATATTTATACCCTAGTAAAGTAAAAATGTACAAAAACTACTTAAGGGCAGTAACGTATTTGTACTTTGCATGTTATATGAGTCTAGCCTACTGATGTACAATATTATATTCGCTGGCGAAAAGGGCTTACAGAAAATCACGTCCTAACATCACTAGAGGTGTTTCACAAGCATGGTTGAGCACCGAGCCGACTGCCGAGAATGCTGGGGTTGGAATGGTTTGTAATTGTGCTGAGCAAAACTCTTCTTTACTGTGCTTGGAATGGTTCTGTATGATGATGGAAAAGTGCCTTTAGTGACAGTGCAGAGAAGTTCGCCCCGGAAGTGGTTTTTAAGTGGAGATGTAAATAAAATGTAACTGAACCGTTTGGCCCGATGATGGAAAAGCGCTTTTAACCAATGCTTAAATTCCTAATTGTTTCCTGAGAATATTTGAAATCTAAACTATTAATTTTGAAAATAAATAAAAAAGACTAGAATTTAATACCTATTTGTTTAGGTTTCTCTATTTTTTTTCTAGTGCTTGCATCCTGTGTAGTCGCAACCTTTATTGGAACTACCAGTGATATTGTTGGATACGTCTTTACCACAGAAGAGTAAGTAGAGTAAGAGACCTATTGTTCAGATTTTATTATGCATCATAACATTTTATATGTAATACAATTCCTTGCTTGTGTAATGGTAAATTGCATATCTTGTAATGGAGGCCAGCCAGTGAGAACTGTGCGAATAAACCTCACTCCCCTGCATGGCCTCAAGAGGTGCGTTAGCGACTGATGCTAGGGGTTGCGTTCTTTAGCATCCTTGTTAGCTTGCCTGCCTCTCATGCTGGAATAGCCTGTTCGAATCCTGCTCTGAGTGGGGCGAGTAGAACCGGAGAGGTTACAAACTATTGTTTGATTAAACAGTCAGATAAAGGTTTTTCCTTGTGTGTTTCTGACCAACATTGAAACTTTTAATTGTGATATTGAGATCAAATCTGTGTACTAACTGTAGCCTCTCTCTCTCTCTCTCTCTCTCTCTCTCTCTCTCTCTCTCTCTCTCTCTCTCTCTCTCTCTCTCTCTCTCTCTCTCTCTCTCTCTCTCTCTCTCTCAAAGGGAAATTGTGCTCAGAGTATCAGAGGTCATGATCATGTACAGCTTATTTCATATATTTGATGTCATTGTGGTAGGCTTGTTTTTTTTCTTTCTTTTGATTCTGATCTGTCTGAATGTTTGTGAAAGTTAGAGAGAGAATTACATTTTTAAAAACAAAATCACATTCTAGTTACAATAGTCTTTCTGCCTTTTTTTAAATGACATTCTGGTTATCAGGATTTATATCTAAACATCTGTACTACAGTATACACTTACTTTCAGAAGGAAAAATATGATTTTCCAGTTTCAGTTTCTTTCTATTTCTTTTTATTTCTCAGATATTCACTTTAGATATGTGAATGTCTGACACTGTCCTCTTGATAACAAACTAATGTTTTTTTTTCTGTCTGAAGGGCATTACAGGTGGCATTATCAGAGGTGCAGGAAAGCAGCTGATTGGTGCTCTTTCTAACATTGTGGGATATTATATTGTGGGATTCCCAATTGGAGTGTCATTGATGTTTGCTCTCAGCATGGGCATAGTTGGTAAATGATTTAAAAGTGTTGAAACATTTCAAATATTAAACTCAAGTGCCACGCTTAACACCTCCATTAATCGACCTATTTAATCAAATAATTAATCTTGTTCTCTCCTGCTAGGTTTGTGGACAGGATTTTTTGTATCTGCTTTCACACAATCTTTGTTCTTCATCATCCTCATTTGCAAACTGGACTGGAAAAAGGCGACTCAAGAGGTGGGCCATTTTTCCTCATCCATAGTCTATTTGTACAGATGATTATTTTAGTCTTTATCTTCTTATTTTCAGGCCTTGATCAGAGCTGGTGTTCAAGCCCCTGAGACCAAAGATGAATCTTACGCTATGGAAAATAAGGGCTGCACAGAAGGTACTTTCTGTCTGTGGTATATGATGACCTTAATGATGAACAAAAAAACATGTTTCTTTTATCATGGACTTTCGCTTATGTAGACCAATTATTGTACAGAAGTGCCAGAAGAGTCCCAGCACACTGAAGAAGGCCAGACAGATGCAAGCACAGACCTGGAAGGACTCAGTAAAGGAGAAGGAGGAATAACAGACGCTGGCACAAAGGTCACAGTTGGGGCGGTTTTGACCACCAAACAGCTGGTTGTTCGTCGAGGACTAGCGGTTTTCTTCATGCTGCTTATACTAGCTGGTGGGATTGTGTTAAATGAAGTGCTCATTAAATTTCTCAGATGAGCACAATAAATATTTCTTCATTGCAAAATATTCAAATTAGTTTATTTTTGTGTGTTGCTACATTGATTACTTGAGTTACGAAAGAAAGAAAATAATTTTTGGCTTCCTAAACTTTAGCAATTGTACATTTGCATTATACTTCTTAAAACAAGTTAGGCAAACAACTACTTTTATTTACTGTAGTTTATTTTTATTTATTTATTGTTGTGTATTTGTGAGTTTATTTAACCCTCTGGGGACGGATTGGGCGGTACCGCCCAAAATGGCATACTTTTACAAATGTGTAATTATCTTAAAAACTATTAATGATAGAGAGGTGCTGTCTTTTTTACCGTCTTCCTCAGATTCCGCTGAAAACAGTGATAACTCACCCGGCTTGTAAATATACACTCTTTCTTGTTGCGCAATACCACTATGTAAAAGGCCAATGAAATCGATGTTGTTTGGCAGATTCCGCCAACAACAACCAATGGAAAAATTGCCGATGGAGAAATATTTTTCTTACCCAATCAGAGGAAGGTTACCATGACGTTTCTAGCAAATCAGAGGACTCTGTAGCCTTGCAAGGGGTGGTACTATATAGTTAGTGATATGACCCCAAAGGGGTAATCCATCGACCGGAAGTTGAAGCCGGCCGGGTGCCGCCTTGTAGCAGAACTTCACTTGCGTTAGCATTTCCATTGACTTCCATTCATTTTGGCGTCACTTTGACAGCGAATAACTTAAGATCTGAGGCGTTTAAAGACTCCATTTGTCCATTATTTATTTCTAAAGAAACACGACAATGTATAAAGGGCTCCATTACCTTCTATGTTACATTACGGCCCCGTAGAAACAGTTTTTGTAAAAATAGGCTAACGATTGCGTCATAACCACTCGACTCTCTGTCGCGCTGTACAGAAATTACCGTACAGACAGGAGGAGAAGCTCGCCAGGCAATCGGGGGGACGTCCCGTCAAGGGAGAAGCCCATAGATAAAGAGTCCATAAAAGCAACGGAATACTTACTCCTGCTCACTCACGCCAAAGAACTCTTTGCTCAAGTTCCCGGTCTCTGCAAGATTAACGTTGGCAATTTTCACGCACAGCTACTAGAAGATTAACGTCTGTCAGACAGGTTGCTCACGTCATCAAGCTTAGTTTGAGGCGGTTTGAGTCTGCGCGTCAGGAACGGAAGTGCTCAAAAATCGCTAAAAATGGGCTTCAACTGTCTCAACTGAGTTCCAATGAGATGGCTCTGTCCACTTCTTATACTGTCTATTGATATGACGCAAACAGCGTTGAATGGAGAGTAGGAGAGAGAGCGAACAGAGGCTTACAGAGCGGATTATCAGAGATTTATATGAGAGAGAGACAGAACAATTATAATATATATATATATATATATATACACATACAATTATAGCATTATTTATTGTTTTAGCACTTTTATGATGGCAAGCAGTAAACGATTTACGGTGGAACAAGCTCTGGAACAATTACTGGAGAGTGACGAGGAGAAAGTATTGCTTAGAAAATTCTAAGCATTCCTAAGAAAAACGCCTTGGACTATTTGTAAATAAAGTTACATTTTTCATTGTTCTTTACACATTTGATTTAACAATTACACATGTCTGTCAAGCAAAGGCTTTGACAAATATATTTTTTGTTCAAAAACTGTTCACTAGTGTTGTGTGATGTTTGATAAATGTTTCTTAGGATTGTTTGCAAATGCCAGCTATTTCAAGAAAAGGAGACAGGTAAAGGCTGCCTCGAGTTTTAAATACATTTTATTGTTTATTTAAATTATTATTATTATTTCTGTCATGCAAAAAAAACATGATCCGGTAGCGATTACTCTTTTCTCACACTTTTCTGCAGTAAAATGACACCTGAAAGTCATCACAATCATTCAAATGTACTTGTTTAAGGTGTTGTTTACACAACACCGTTTTCAACTAAAAACAGAAAACTTAAGCATTTTAAGCATTTACACGACGGCTGCGTTTTGGGGGACTGAAAAACTTTTGAACATGAGTTTTAAAGTGCAAGTTTTTGAAAAAGATATTGTTATTGTCTCCTTATAAATTACAAAAATGTGAATTTGTGAAAACAGTTGTGCACATGTGTATTACATGTTCAGTCTATAGGTGCATAGTGTTTCTTTACAAAGTGACATCGCCAAATACTGGCCTGGCTGGAGAATACAGTGTTTTTAGTCGTTTCCGTCGATCCGTGTGAACGTTTTGACAACGTTGATGCCTTCATCTTAAATCTGATGACGCATCTGTAATATGGTTTGTTGAAAACAGACAGACAGAGTTTGGCTAATGTACCGTATTTTCCGCACTATAAGGCGCACCGGATTATAAGGCGCACCCTCAATGAATGACCTATTTTAGAACATTTTTCATATATAGGGCGCACCGGATTATAAGGCGCATAAGATACTGCAGTCAAACGTTTGACTGGGTTTGCGTTATGCATCCACTAGATGTGCTAAAGGGAATGTCAACAAAACAGTCAGATAAAGTCAAACTTTATTAAGCGTTCTGACAACTCCGTTCACTCCCATGGTAACGTTGTTCAAACGTTAAAGGAGAACTCCGGTCAATTTTAACATTGAGCTAATTTTTTGGTAAATTTGGAGTGCTGTCAGTACAGATAACAACGACAAAAACCGGTGTTGCCTACACTGTGTTATCCTCTTTTTAAAATTTGCACCCTGTTGACTTAAACGGGACAAGTTTTAAATCTGCTTTTAGCCTCTTAACAACCTTAATGTGTCATTACAAGTGCACAGCCATGTGAGTGATCTCATTAAGAGTGAACACGGTGAATCTGACTGCGGTAAATGTGAAAGATATGAATAAAAATGATGTTTATTCAGCCAGCTCACATACCCGTATTTTCTTTCTGTTTTCGGTCGAAGTCCACCGTAGGCGATTGTCGAGTGCGCGCGCGCGATCATTGGTAGCTAAGCAACAGTGGAGACTCAGGCTGTCAGCTGTCAGCCGATGACGGTGCTGTGTGGTGTTCTGAGAATATCAGCTCAAATGGATAGTTCATCCGAATCAGATGTTGAACACACGGAGGTTTGATCGCGCGCGCAAACTCGACAATCAACTACTGTGGACGCCGAAAACAGGAAGTAAATACGGGTATGTGAGCTGGCTGAATAAAGAGATTATTCCTGCCTTCGTGAAAGCTCGGATCACAGTTGAGACTGATATATCAGCCCAGGCATCCACGATCCATTGGCAGATAGTGACGTAAGTCGCCCGGCGCTGTCTCCCCGTCTTGGTGAACGCGTGTTCACCATCCATATATAAGGCGCTCCGGATTATAAGGCGCACTGTCGTTTTTTGAGAAAATTAAAGGCTTTTAAGTGTGCCTAATAGTGCGGAAAATACGGTATGTTTCTGTCGATGGATACACATTCTGGCTTCCCAATATGTTACAACAACGATGATCTAAAAAACGTGGACAAAATAATCACTCTTTGTAAACTTCAATAGGAGTGCCATATGCTCTAATATGACCAGTCATTTATGCCGTCATCACCCGGATGTTGATAGCGCGCAAGTGCAGGTGAGACCTGAACAGCACACGTTGCTATCTGTGTTTAAACTAAACTAATTTAAGCCTTGCCAGTTTAAACATTCAAGAGCAAGAAGATGCAAAATAGAACTCGAGGAAAGACGTGTCTCAGACGGCGTGCAATTATTGAGTTCCCTTATCGGTCGGTCACTCTCTACGTACGTTGTGACCGCCTGATAGGAATTTCGCTAGAGAGGCCAATCTACTTCGAGTGAAACTAAACAACAACATTTGCATCAGCTGTGCAGCCTCGCAGCGCGGGGATTGCACTTCAGCTTTTTGCTTCGGAGCCAAGCACTTCGATGCTTCTACAATCAAGACTGGCTGAAACCAACAAGCCTTTCTTGGACCTCTCTATCTGGGTGCGGGTGTTACAGCACGGCAGCACGAATTATCTTTTTTCTCTCTCTCTTCCTCCTATCTTTTTTGTTTTAAACTGAGCAAACAAAAAAACGTTTATAACAGCTGGTAAGGTGCGCCAGTCAGAGCACTCAAAGGCTGTTTTCACAGCTGGTACCAGCGAGAGAGAGGCAGCGCACAGACAGGTGCACATTCCTGTCTGTGTTCGCAGTGGTCATTCCCCTGCGTGCTTCAGCACCAACGAGAGTTGTCCCTAAAAGAGCTTACACAGATAGAATGCATCTTTAAAAAAAAAAAAAAAAAGATGACTTTCTATCTGTATGTTTCTAGATGCGGTCGTTACCTGTGGTCACGGGATGGTCACGATTGTCTGGGCCTCGAACACGCGGTGGCAGTTTTTGTGGATGAGTCATGTACCCATTGTGGAAAGATGACCATCGCAGAGCTGCGGTCGAGCCTCTCGTTCCTTTAAAGGGGCGGAGTCCCCGTGCCTCTGCCTCGATCCAACCCTCCCCAGAGGGTTGCATTGGCCAGTGAAGCGGGATACCTGAGGATCACGGTGAGCACGCTTCCTTCGGGGAACCAACCCCCTAGGAACCCTCATCCCTCTCATGCTCCACAGCCAGTTGAGCCACCAAAGGAACGTGCTGGACCATTCTCGAGGTGCGTACCAGTCGTTTCCTTTGGTGCTCCCCACAACGATCAGATGTCGATCACTGCATCGGAGGGTAGGTCAGACTTCTCCGCGGATGACGACTCGGCGCCGCTGCCTCCTTCGGGTGTTTCACCGGTGACCGAGTCGGACCCGGAGATTATGACCATGCTTTCCTGGGCCGCCGACAGGATCTGGCTCGTCTGGAACCCTCCACCGTGTCCCGAGCCCTCAAAGCTGGACGATTGGTATCTCGGAGTGACGCGATCGCAACGGACCTCACGCTTCGTGCGACGAAGGTCACGTGCTGTCAGTCGGTCGTGCGATGTCCACACTAGTGGTCCAGGAGCGCCATCTCTGGCTGTGTCTGTGACAAGCTCCGGTTCCTTAACTCCCCCGTGTCCCAGACCAGCCTCTTCGGCGACGCGGTCGAGAACTTC